CCTTGAGCTGAAGAGCTGAGGGACAGCGCCCAGGCCCACAGTTCAAGCCCCACGACTGACAAAAAAAAAAAAATTTCCAAAGCTCAATATGTTTCTTCTTTAGAAAGGAAGATACAGTATTCTATATATCCCAAATAATTTCTGCTATATAACTTACAAATACTTGCCATAGCAACTTAACAATTCCATTCAGAATTTCTTCTATCTCTCATTTCTATTTTATTAGTCACAATATAATTCTAGTTTTAACATTTTGTGTCCAATGGATATATGAGGTCAGCATGACGTTACCTTTCTCCAGAGATTTCATTTACTTAAAGGAAAAGTATTAGGTCACTAGGATTATAAAATCCTAGGATTTCTGGGCACTGGTGGCTCATGCCTGTAATCCTAGCTATTCAGGAGGCTGAGATCTGAGGATCCTGGTTTGAAGCCAGCCAGGGCAGAAATATCCATGGGACTCTTATTCCAAATTAATTACAAAAAAAAAAAAAAGCTGGAAGTGGAGCTGTGGCTCAAGTATTAGAATGCTTCAGGGACAGCACCTATGCCCTGAGTTCAAGCTCTAGGTCTGGCACACATAAAAAAAAATTCTAAGGCCAGGTGCTGGTGGCTTATGCCTGTAATTCTAGCTACTCAGGAGGCTGAGATCTGAAGATCATAGTTCAAGCTCCACGACTGACAAAAAAAATCCGTAGGATTATAAAATCTCAGTCCCCTTTTTCCTTAGGACCATCATTAAATTATCTATGCCTTTAGCTCAGCTATGTGTGGTGTCTAAAGAACAGGGTCAGAATGTCTGAGTGGGGTTATTACTCACTTTGCTTTAGAGATGAATTTGTAAGTATCATTCCAGTAAGCCAGGAGATCAGTTGCCTCTTCATCATATACCCGGATGTTATGATACTCAAAGACTCCTGGGAAGAAGTTATCTATCTCTCGAGTGACATTCAAAATATACCGCACCCTGTGAAGAAACCAAGGGAAGAATATGTTCTCTGCTACTCAGGCTATATCCAATTTCTAGCACTGTATCTGCCACTTTTAACATTCCATTTTTAGTTTACATGTATAGTTATACAACTTGTCTTTGACAGTCTTGTGGAAATAGCCCTCATATTTACTCCTAAGAATCAACCTTGGACCCATAACCTAGCAACTTCTCTTTCTGTCACTAAAATTAATACATTTTCTTAGAATTTATTTCTATAAAACTGGACCACTGACATGTATATCTAGAAAAAAAAGAGAAAAGGAAAAATTTCTTCCATTTTCCTAAATGCCAAATTTTAGGCTTTGCTTTATTACTCTCTTTCAACTTTGTGAAAGGCAAATGAGGCCAGGGCTGGGAGGGTCAGGAGAGCTGGACTTGAAATTCCTTCAGCTCTATCTGGCTGCATTCCTGGCTGCTATGGTAGCAAAATTAATGGAGGGTTATCCCAGACTGAGATACTTGCAGAAAAGGGTTTCTCTATCAAAAATTTCTTCTAGCATATATTACTGCATTCACCTCAATTTAACCTTTGATTTACTTTGTTATCTTTTTTCCAATGCTATGCAGACTCAGAATCACTAGAGTTCACTGTTAAAACATGGATAGCTTTTCTTGGTAGAAGCTGCTTCCTTCTCACAAACATATATAGGGTTCTACAAATTCAATCTCTGAAAATGACTACAAAATGAAAAGCCAGGGCTAACCAACTCTGTGGTTAAGACCAAGTGTACAATTTTTTTCTCTGGGGCGTGAATTTAATGTTTTGACTTAGCATCAAAGCCAATTAATAGGACACTAACAAAAGTAAAAGCAAGCACATGGTAGGAATGTAGAATGGTGAAACTGTTATGGAAAACAGTTTAACAAAATTCTTAATATAAGGCAAGTTTTCTTCAATTTCAGAAGCTTGCCCATTTTACATTCATAACCTACTCTTCAAAAAGCTAGAAAAGGATAAAAGGGCAAGAGGTGAGTTTTACTTCAGAATGGTTTACTGGTACTATGCTTGATCCACAAAAGACACTCATTAAATGTTAAATGAACAACTGTAAATCTCAAATATGTAGTTCAATGTATTTTTCCCTTTTTGCAGTATTGAGGATTACACCCAAGGACTCACACATTTGGCAAGTGCTCTGTCACTGAGCTACACTGCTAGATCCTACCCCTTTGTATGTATGTATGCATGCATGCATGTATGTATGTATGTATGCATGCATGTATATACATACATATGTACTAGAGTCTGAACTCAGGGCTTTGTGCTTGTTAGACAAGCTCTAGTTCTTTTTGCTCTGTTTAATTAGAATTTTGGAAATGGTGCTGTCTTGAATACAAAAACCTCAGGGATAGCACAGGCACCAAAATAAAAACAACAATAATATTTTTTTGTGCCTGTCCTGAGCTTGAACTCAGAGCCTAGATGCTGTCCCTGAACTTTTGTGTGCAAGGCCACCACTGTATCACCTGAATAAAGGCTCCACTTACTCCTTTTTTTCTGGTTAACTGGAGATAATTTTACAGATTTTCCTGCCCTGGCTGGCTTTGAACTGTGATCCTCAGCCTCCTGAGTAGCTAGGATTACAGGTTTGAGCCATCAGCACTTGGATGTTTAATTTTGAGATAGGGTCTCACATTTTACCCAATTGGTCTAGATTGTTCTGTTTATGCTTTCTGTTATAGCTAGGATAGTGCTCATTACCATGTCATTTTTTTCTGTTAAGATGAGTTCTCACAAACTTTTTTTCCTTCCATACTGGCCTCAAATTGATCTTCTCTATCAGTTAGGATTATAGGTGTCAGCTACTATGCCTGGCTTCTACACTTGATTTTTTTTTTTTTTTGGTCGGTCATGGGGCTTGAACTCTGGGCTTGGACGCTGTCCCTCAGCTCTTCAGCTCAAGGCGAGCTCTCTACCACTTGAGCCACAGCGCCACTTCCAGTTTTCTAGTGGTTTACTGGAGATTAGAGTCTCACAGACTTTCCTGCCCGGGCAGGCTTTGAACTGTGATCCTCAGCTCTCAGCCTCCTGAGTAACTAGGATTACAGGCGTGAGCCATCAGCGCCTAGCTCTACACTTGATTTTAAAGAGCACCAACAATGTACACATTTGCGGATTTTTTTTTTTTTTGTGGTTCTGGGGTTTGATCTCAGGGCTTATTTGAGCCTGCACATTTGTCTTTAAAAGATCTCACATTAGGCAGGGAATGTGGCTTAGTGGTAGAGTGCTTGCCTAGCATGCATGAAACCCTGGGTTCAATTCCTTGGTATCACATAAATAAAAAATAAATACAAATGAAAAATCTTCCATTAATACAAGTGAACTTTTTTGGAAAGTGAGAGAATTTAACAGTTGGAATTTTTTTTTTGGGGGGGGTCAGTTCTAGGGCTTGAACTCTGGGCCTGATGCTGTTCTTGAGCTCTATAGCTTACAGTGAGGGCTCTACCACTTGAGCCACAGTGCCACTTCCTGTTTTCTGGTAGTTAACTGGAGTTAGGAGTCTTTTTTTTGGGGGGGGGGTCCGGTCATGGGGCCTGAACTCTGGGCCTGGGTGCTGTCCCTCAGCTCTTCA